GAGCGGCTTTTTGATCTTCTCAAAGAAGTAGTTTTCCTGAAAAATGTCCACCGGTACACGAGGCAAAAATCCAGCAACGTCACGCTGGGTGTCCATGGTCGCCCGGCACATCTGCCTGTACAAGTAGGCGAGAACAGCAGCACCCAAGCTGTACTGGGTAAATCATCTAGCCGCTCAAGATGATGAAGAAATCTCAAGCTGACTAGGTTCCCCGAAGTATTCGGGAACAAGACCCCTCCAAACATAAGGAGCAGCAACAACCTCGTGTACCGATGGATATGCAACTCCGGTGTATCGCCTGTGATGTCACAGTGCAATACCTCCAGATGGTCTCGGATAGTCGTCAGCTGCAGACGACTGGACCCAGCCAGTGCAGTCTCCTCTTGTGGCCGGATACCAGTGAGCTGTTGCAGCATGTCCAGGTACTGCCCACCTGTCAGCTCTCTCATGGCGTGCGATAGAGCAATGGGCTGTCCATCAACGGGCAGCCCATATATAACCTCCATGTCTAGCAGTGTGATGGTGGCCTCGCCAATGGCAAGTGGAATGTGTGCGTCTCCGGTCGCCACCGCTCTATCAGGACCGTGATCAAAGACCAATCGAGCTGCAGCCGCCCGATCTCCAAAATCCTATAGAAGCCCGTATCCTGCAGACGTCTGACTACACGGGGATGGAGGACTTTGCCCTTCAGGTCCACTCTCCTGACGCGGAGAGTCTGGGCCAGTAACTCTCCCTCCCATATGGGAGGACCTATGATCGCCCTGTAACGACAGTAGCTCATCGCTAGAAGGTCTGGGATGCATAGGCGGAACCTCCATGTCGTCTACTGTAAATTAAATAACATTAATTACATGTTAGTTTTATAATTTTATATATTTGTTTGTAAATTAAATAATTAATTTCTATAATTATATAAGATTTAATTATTAAGTATTCACATATGGGTTTCAGGCTCGATATTTGAGGCCCAGTAGCACCAAGATATCCAGAATTCTTATATGTGTTAGTTTTATTATTTTACATGTTAGTTTTATAATTTTATATATTTGTTTGTAAATTAAATAATTAATTTCTATAATTATACAAGATTTAATTATTAAGTATTCACATATGGGTTCCATGCTCGATATTTGAGACCCGGTAGCACCAAGATATATGAAATTCTTGTATGTGTTAGTTTTATTATTTTACATGTTAGTTTTATAATTTTATATATTTGTTTGTAAATTAAATAATTAATTTTTATAATTATACAAGATTTAATTATTAAGTATTCACATATGGGTTGCAGGCTCGATATTTGAGACCCAGTAGTACCAAGATATCCGAAAAATATTATTGTTTTCTCATGTTATTTTTTTACGATCGTTGACTATAATTGGATAGAGTTTGTGTTTGATCTATCAGTTATTTTGACGTATTTTTGGGTATAAGAGATACTTAAATGATTAATTTCAATAACTACAGGGATACTATACTAAAAGACACTATATTTTACTACGCTAAAAGGACACTATATTACTAGTCTTTAAGCAAATAAATAATCTAAACCAGATAAAAATAACAAATACATTTAATCACAAAACATTCACGAAAATACATATACAACAGTAAAAAGTAACTTATTAATATTTTTTTGAACAAATAATAATGATTTCTGAAATTTTACACATATTTTTAGCACATTAATATCGTAATCCGGATAAAAATAACATATCAGTTTAATCGCAAAAAAAATACAAAACAACATAGAACACATTTAAAACAACTAATATGCATTTTTTATACGAGTTTCGACAAAAACTAAATCGGAATACCTCGATTTATGTGTTTTGGAAAGTTGAAGATTTGAATTCGAAACGAGCAACCCACAAC